AATACTGTTGTCCAAACAGTAATACGAGAAACAAGTGATCTATTATGGTAAAGTGCTGTTTTCTAAGTCACTGACTAATTGTGAGCACATCCAAGATGGAGGAAATTAGCGAAAATCAGATGAGCTCTATATAGAACCCCAAAGAAACAAACCAAAAAATATTAAGAGTGCAAAAAAGGGGTGCGTCTTATAGCACAGAATTATGAAATAAAATTCAGAGTTGTGGCCAGGGCTTCCCTGGTGGCCTAGGGGTTAAGTCTCAGTACTATCTCTACTATCGCATGACTTTAATTCCCAGCCAGGAAGATGACCCACATGGCGCGGCGGACCTCTCCTGACCCGCCCGCTGCTCCCCTCAGCAGAGTGTGTCAGTGGATCTACCTGTTCTGCTCCCCACCCTGTCTCTGGTGAATCTTCTCACCCCCATACCTCTAGACTACTAACCATTTCTTTTATACAAAAATAAATATTTGGGGAAAGGAGGTGTGGCTGACCTTCTCTTTTAACTCCCCAAGATAAGCAGCGCTCTGTCCGAGGATGGCCTCTGCAGTATCCTGGAAACAAGTGACCCACTGATTCTCATGATAATCAGCAATATTTACCTAAAAAATACAACTCTGTATTATTTCAACACAGAAACAGTAAAAGACACATTTAGGAACATTAACTTTTCCCACTCATTAAAATAATTTTTAGTGGGGGGGGAAACCATTACCACAATATGTACTGTCTCCCTTCTGAAACATGTGAAAGCAGCTTAAAATCTAAGGCTGGGTCACAGCAGGAACACAATATACTGTGGATGTGTGATTTCAGATCTCAGTTCCCCTTAGCTGCAAAGGCTTTGGGATTAAAAATTTTGAATGAGCCTTGAATGCAAGCTCTCTGCATTTTAAATTTTACCTTCTCTAATCACTAGGAGGAATTCCATGAGGTTCTAGTCACTACTGAACATCCCAGATAATTTAAAAGCCTGAGTTAAAGGCTTTCATCAGCCTCCAAATTTACCTAGCAACAGAAATGGGAATCTATTTGGACCATGGTGTAAAATTAAATAGGAAGAGGGTCAAAGAATCCACTTGTTATGGCAAATGGCCTACTAGAAGCAACAACAAAAGTTCTTCTTTAAAGGTGTCATTATGATGATTTTACATATCCACTTGGCACACACATGGGTTTCAATATTAAAATAAAGATGCTAGGTCTCACCTCCAGCTGAGCCCATGCTGCCTCCCTCCAGAGGCAGAGGGCACCACTCTCCTGGGTGAGAGCACCTGCGGAGGGGCCCACTGGGACCCCATGAACCAGCATGCCAGACCCCTACTTGGAAGTTTAACAGGAAGTCCGATGGTATAAAGCAATTTTTTTCATTTTAGCTCAAAAAATCCTTTGCAGAAAACATGAAGCCTAAATGGAGAACAGCGCTGCCAAAATTTTTAAGGAGGGCAACGGGAATGCTTTATCTAAAGATTTCTTCTTTAACTTCCTACTACAAGAATATATACTATGGTGGGGAAAAAGGAAAATGGAGAAAACTATACAGAAGAAAATGGAAAAAACTATACAGAAGAAGAAATGTCAACCAGTATTTGTTATTTACTACTATCAACAGCCTGGTAATCATCCTCCAGGTTTGTTTTTTTTTCAAGATTACATAAAACACACCATTTTAAATGTATTATTTTCAACTTATTTCAAACATGTTAACAGCAGAAACTGTCAAATAAGTGGCAAATTCTAACAACTTCATGAAGTTGTTATTCCACTCTACGTAAAGGAATGAACCAGTAGAACATTAAGGATATTAAGTTGAATCCAAGCTCTCAAAATAAAAACAAGGTACTAGACAACTTTGTACAGACTGACCTGTCTGATTGTTTTTTTTAGGAGAGAGCCCCTCCAAGTGTCTCTTATGTCAAAATAAATATTTTTAAGGCTTCTGATATATTAGTGCCAAATCACCTTCTAGAAAAACCATGCTCATTTTCTTGTACCTTTATTATAATTTAGTGTAATTTTTAAAAAGGACTTATACCTTTCATTTCAAAGATTTTTAAAACAAACAAATGATTCTGACAATCAAACAGACACCATCCCTCATTAGTGTGCAATCACCTCTCTGCAGCACGTTCACATCAGCCCTAGGAAGGCCGAGAGAGGTGCTCCACAAGAAAAATAACGTAACATAGGCATCAGCTGTGAATGTGTCATTACTGGCCTCCAAAAATGTCATTTCAAATTATCTTAACAGTTGTTAGGGGAGGGCCACCACTGCTGTCACTGTATATGCACAGCAGACTGAAATCAGGCAGGTGCCTAAATGCAACTTTCTGGTATGAGAAAAGCTTTTAGTAACAGAAAACAGACTGTTATTTTGTTCAGTGGAAGGCTCATTAGTCCCATATTTATAGAATAATAAGCTCTTCAGCACTTCCTCCTCTGTAGGCATCCCACCATGAGCGTCCTTGTTTTCACCGTTACGCCTGGCCTTTGGTGGGGACTCGAGGTAACACCATGGTGGTTCTCATGTACCCATTCTACTTACTGACAGGATCATGCGGTACTTGAAATTGGGAAATTCACTGTCACACTTCTCACAGCGATATAAGCCGTTCTGTTGATCAATCACTTTCTTATTGCACTCCTGATTTGGACAGGCTTGGTACATGCAGTTCTCTTTGCGAGCAAGAATCACTGTTGCCACAGAACTAAAGTAGTCCGCCTTTAAGAGAAAAAGCCCAGGAATGAACTCAGAGGCAGTCCAAAGCTTGCCCTTAAGGGTAGTGATAAATGCTTATACATGGGATTCTCAGGGTCACACCGAGATTGTAGGGAATCATTTATTCTGTAGTTCTAGAAATCACTGTGCTGACTTACAAAACTTATGAAGCTACAAGTTCTAAAGCACATACTTCCTTAAAATTGAGGTAATTCTAAATTAGAGTAAATTAAATATAACTGAAACAGACTACACAAAAGACAGACTTCAAAAATCTGTTCTCTCTCTCTTCTTTATTTTTGTCTAATTCTCTTTGACAAAGGGGTCAGTAAGTATTTCTGTAAAAAGTCTGATAGTAAATATTTCAGGCTTTACAAAACCACTTGGTCATAGTCTGCTGCAGCTACTCAGCCCTGCTGTTGTAAATGAAAGCATTTACATGGCTGTGTTAAAACTATTTACAACAGGAGACAGGTCTGTTTGCATTATTAAATCCTGGCCTAAGAATGCAAAAATAAATGAAATGTGCCTTTGAGTGGAGAAATCACTGGTAAGTAAATAAGTCATATGCTCAGGCTATCTGTGGTTACTACTTCTTTTGCTTTAAAACTCCACTACATAAAGGATATGGGGTGTGGATGATGTTAGGGTGAGTGGTTCCTTCATGGTGTACTCTGGATTCAGAGCCAGGCCTGCAACCTCTGGGTTTCCTAATATCTCAGTTCAAATGAGGAAAAGCAATAATGTGGATATTAACAGAATTTAGGTAAGTTCTCAATCTAGAAGGCTCTGGGAGCTTTCTATTGGGTATTTTCAGAGTCTAAATTCAAGGCAACAAAGCCAGTCTTTAAAATTTGGGTATAAGTAAGGATTCCTTGACTTGATTTCTTATTATATGCTTTAGATCTAAGAGAGAAAGTGGGTAATAACAGAACCCTGGGAGTCTGGACAAAAGATCTGTCTAATGTTTAAATTATTAGGATGCTGGAGCATGTGAGCTGCAGTTGATGCCAAGGGGTAAGGGAGCACAGTAAGATGAGACAGTGAGGGGTAAAAAAGCATATTGTTATGCAGACACACAGATCAATAGAATTGAGTAGGAAGCCTAGAAATTAACCCACAGACCTATGAACAACTAATCTTTAAGGAGCAAATATGCACTAGAACAAAGACAGTTTACTCAATAAATGGTGCTGAGAAAACTGGACCACTACAAGCAAAAGAATGAAACTAGACTACTGTCTCACACTATGGACAAAAAACAGCTCAAGGCCCTCCCTCGTGGC